CTATGTACATGTAGTTTAAAAATAAATAAAAAAGAATAAATATAAAGATGTGGGAACAGGTGATATATGATAAAATTGAAGAGTCACATATCCTATGTCCGAGAAATTTTTGTATCTATAGGAAGACTCTTCCCCATGAGACAGAAATGTTGATGATAGCTTTATTCGTAATAGCAGAGAACTGGAAGGCACCTAAACGAATATCAGTTAGAGATCAGATTAGGACCCTGTGGTACATTCATATAAGGGAGTGTGTTACAATGCAGAATGCATCTAAATAGATACACCCCAATGACATTAAATGAAGGTGGAGAAAGTTTGCATCAGTTGGAGTAATCACATGGGGAGCTGTGAGCCCTGTTAGCCATTTAACCTTGACAGTAAGTGCCATGGAGGGCTTGGGCAGAAGTGAGTGCTGCTGTGGTTTAAACCTGCGTGTGTCGTTAACAGACTTACATTTTTGTTCCAGTGCAGAGGAATAAATTGGAGGGGAATAAAGCTAGAGGCCAAGAGAGAAATTAGGAAATTGCTGTAGTTTCACGGATGAGCCACGGCAATGTAAAGCAAAAACAAATTGGAGAAATACTGAGACACTGAGGAGGATAAACTCGCAGCGTATTTACTACATGCAAACAATGAGAAAACAGACTGGCTCATGAGTAATGCTTGAACTTCTGTTTCAACCAAGTGAAGCTTCTTCCTAATCCCAATTTCAAACATTTCTGTCAAGCAAATAACTAGTTTTCCAGCGGATTTACTTTTGATCCTTCAACCTCTCCCACCCACTGAGTTTACCACTTTTTCTTACTGGACTCATTCCTATCTTTCTCTTTCTTCCCTAACCAACATTTGCAATAAACAGCAATATCACAACTTAGGTCAAGTTCAACTCTCTACCAACCCCATACCTCTCCTAATGCACCTTAATAAGACTGCACAAAACTCAATTTCATTGTAAAGCAACAACCACATACCTCAAGTAAACTCCTTTTTTTTTTAAAGGTATTGTTAGTGGTTTATTAGAAATTCTAAATGTAAACTCTTAATGTTGCCAGACAATTGTATTATACTTCCTTAGTCCTTCCCTTTCCACTCTCACGGGAAACTACTTCACATCTTCTGGTTCATCAGATCACCAGTACCTGCTTGCTTATGCTCATTCTCTGCTGATAAAGTTTATGCCCAAATTCACTGAAAAACAGGCAGGCAATCAGAAGGCACTTAGGGAGCACGTGTGATATGCATGAGAGCCTGCTGTGCAGTTTTGCATATTCCCTATTATTTAATGCGTAGGAAGCAAAGGATAGCAAGAAAAAAATGAGGAAAAGCATGATAGACTATTCCAGCTAAAATGACGAATAGTGAAGTTACTTTCATCTAAGAAGTTAAATTGCAACATCAAATGAAATATTCCTTTAAAGAATTTTAGTAGCTTGCTTATTTCATTGCTTCAATATACTTGAAGTGTTAATAATAAGATTACAATGCTTTCTTCCCATTTTAGAGTAAAAGGAAAGCATTTGGAAAAGAACAAGCTCAGGTCAGAGCTCCCTGACCACAGGTGTCTGGGCTCGTGTACTTCGGTCCCCCTGTTACTCTGAACTGTTACTCTGAACCGCCCCTCACGGACTGAATAGTTTTTCTTTTTACCTACCCACTTTCTTCTTTCCTTCCTGCATGTTCATTTTACTGCGGCCTCATCCCCTTCCCTCCAGTTTAAAAACATGTCGTACTTTCTAGTAATATCCGTTCCTCTGCTTCTCTTTAGAGTGAGACTACTCGTAAGATTTGATTGGATTTGATTCACTACCTCCATTTCAGGCCCACTTCTGCCTCCCGAGTTCACTCCAGTTGCGACTTCACCCTTCACTCCACTACCACAACTCTTTGCAGGTCTGTGAGGGAGAGACCTGCGTTACAGAATCTCCTGGTCAGTTTTCCACCCCAGCCTCGCTGGACTCGGCCACATTCTAGACAGTTGGTCACTGATTCCTTTTGGAAACACTTTCTGCTCTCTGCTTCCAGGATAACCACTGATCCTCCTCTGACTCACTGAACACATCTCAGTCCTCCCTGGTGCCTCCTCACCCTCCTAAACCACATATTACGCTGGCTGCTGGGACCCTCTTGCCTCACATTCATGCACTGCCTGAGCCCGTATCTCTGGCATATTTTCCAAGCTCTTCCTTGACCCTCTGTGTTTAAAATCGCAGCCCTCCCCTATTTCCTGGCACCTGCCCATCATACTTATCATCACAACACTTATAAATGTTGCTGTCACAAGTTTTATTTTTTTCACCTCCCTGTTTTCCCTCTTATCCACTAAAATGCGTGCCCAATGTCATGGGGACTTTTTTGTGTATTTGTTCCTGTACCCAGAACAATGAATGTGGGGACTTTTTTGTGTATTTGTTCCTGTACCCAGAACAATGAATGGCACAATATATATTTGCTGAATGAATGAATGAGGAAGAAAAGTGTGAACCTGGAAAAAATATAAAATAGATTAAGTTTGCCTTGTACCACCCATGAAAACAAGGTGGAGAGTGCTGTCTGATCATCGGATTAAGGAGCATTTATTGAGCTATCTTCTCATAGCTCTTATTTAAAACCACGGTAAGTATAAAATCACACACGAGCATATGTGGAATGTTTATTTCTGTTGCAGGAAGTTTGAGCACCATGGCTAAGAGGTACATGACGTGCACAGTGGGCTGAATCCCAATGTCTATTCCGCCTGAACCTCCATCTCTGTAAAGGCCCGTCCATAAGGACGAAACATGGGTTAGTGAGCGGAAGAACCTGCAGAGGATAAAGTGAATGCTTGCATTGTGTTTTCTGTGGAGATTAATTCTGATTTTCCCATTAGATGGCAGAACAGTTGCAATATATTTGAGTCTTCCTGCTGTGTGCCCAAGTAAGTGAAGTAAGTAATCTTTGTAAACAACTTTATAAATTAAGTAAAAGGTGGTGCTTTTTAAGGACATAGTGACCTTTTCCCCCTTGATATCTGACACTCGTTATTCCCTATAACCTGTAATAATGGTTCTAAAATTTTAGAGAAGACTGTGATAAAACTTACCCCTTGTGTAGTAAAGGGGAAGTCTTGAAAAGAATTAGTTGGAAATTCCATAGGAGGCTTTCAAAATCGATAGAAATTTACATGCTTTCTGCTGATCTCCTGCCCCCACGCTGAGATATTATTGGTTCTATGGTAATATTTAAAGAACAGAGAGATGAGACCAATCTATTGCAATCATTGTTTGCTAGAGATTGATTCTAAAAGGATTTTTACTAGTTTAGAAATGTAGAGCATCTTTTTATGCCAGTAGGACACACAAGTTGTTTTTCAGTGGAAAAGGCACTATGAGGTATCAAATTTGGGATATTGGCTGCATTAATCATGCCCTTAATAAACATCACCATGACTCAGAGTCAACTCTTATTGAGTTTACAAAGTAGGAAGAACCAACTGTGTTCTAACTTTTCTATTTTCTTTAGAAAATAACAGAATGTTTTCTATCATGCAAATTAAACCAAAAACCCATTTGTACAAGCCCTAACTAATCTACAACAAAACCCATTCTATCTGAACAAAGTGTAAGAATTCATGCTCAAAATAGAAAAACAGTGTATCTGAAAGTGATATATTTTGAGAACAATTTATTAAACATTTGCAATTCTTCTGAGGACTCTAGATTGACCTAAGTTTCCTTGCAGTTTTCGAGGGAGTTGAAATGAGAAATTGCTAAGCCCACCCAGTTCCCCACGACCCTGCTGGCAGCACTCCCGAGTGTCAGATTCCTTATTCACTTGCAGAAATTTTAACATAACACGTTTTTCCAGGTTATGGGATGGGATTCATCCAAAAGATACAATATTTCAGGCCCAAAGGGTATCTGCCTTTAAGACTCATTTATTTGACAGAAACCATTCAAATCAATCTCTGTTATGGCTGGGGAGGGGCTGCAGCCACTCATGTGAACACGAAGAAGCTGACGTCACCCAAACATAAACATCCCAACAGCTCCCCAGAGTTCATCTCTCACTTCTCTGCCTCCATCCAAGATCTTCCTGATAACACGGGGAAAGTGGAGATGAACCATCTTCGAACATTTTAAGTAAGAAGACCCTTTAGTCTTCTTTAATCATTAATGGAGTATTAAGTATTGAATATAAACAATCCATTCTTCCTGTTCTGTGAAGCACATACCTCATGGTCTTGCTTGCACCCTTTCTTTGCCTCAGAAGGTCAAACATAAATATCAAACTCAGTTACAGACATGATTAAAAATCGGCACAGCCCACATTAGTGTTGGAGGTCCTGAGCGCTAGATAATCAGTTTATTTTGCCTCTCATTCAGGCATTTGACACTTATTATAAAGGCACACTTGAATTTTCTAGAGAGAATAAGTACTTTTCTGCTTCTAAGTGGTTTCTTGTCATGTATACTGAGGACCCACTAAGTACAAACCATTGTGATGGAAGCTGACACAGGTGCAGAAATGCCTGGTGTCCACACCCACAGCTGGTGTTTTGCAAGCAGAGCTCACCATTGAGTCTGGGACTGGAGCCCTCCCCGCGAAGAAAGGCTTAGATGGACTTGAGAGGAATGCCAGTGAGTGTCAATTCTGGAACAATACATTTTCTCAGCCCAGCTAGGGCATCAAATTCCCTGTCGAATTAGGTGTCTGTTCGGCTCATAATGTCAGAGTAGTCCTTTACTTGCCAGGTGTAACAAGTTACACAGAACGTAGGTCAGGAGAGACTCTCCATCCTGACTGGTGTGGCTCAGTGGGTTGGGCATCAGCCCGAAAACTGGTTTGATTCCTGGTTGGGGAAAATGCCTGGGTTGCAGACCAGGTCTCCCAGTTGGGGAGGCAACCTATGTGTCTCTCACACATTTCTCTCTCTTTCTCCCTCCCTTTCCCTCTCTCTAACAATAAATGCATAAATGTTTTTTAAATCCCCCAATTTCATCACTTTTTATTATGTGTCCTCACTCCCCCTTCCCTAGAACCTTCCTCATGGCCTCTTTGACGTCTTTGTTTCTCAGTGTGTATATGAGGGGGTTAACACTGGGAGTGACAATTGTGTAGAAAAGAGTGAGGAACTTGCCCTGGTCCTGGGAATGAGTGTTTGCCGGCTGGAGGTACATGTATATGATCGTACCATAGAAGAGGGAGACAACGGTTAAGTGGGAGCTGCAGGTGCTGAAGGCTTTCTTTCGCCCAGCGGCAGACTTGATTGCAAGCACGGCCCGAGCAATGTACCCGTACGAGGTAAGGATGAGGCTGAGGGGTGCCAGAATGATAAAGATGGCCAAAGCAAACGCCAGTGCCTCCAGGGCCATGGTATCGACGCAGGCCATGCCAATGAGCGCTGGCATCTCACAGAGAAAGTGGTCCACCCGCCGGTGCCCACAGCGGGGTAACAGCAATGTCTGGGGTGCCATGATGAGAGAATTGCCAAAGCCGCTCAACCAAGCCACAGAAGCCAGCTTCCCACAGAGGCGTGGGTGCATGATGACTGTGTAGTGCAGGGGCCTGCAGATGGCGACATAGCGGTCATAGGCCATGACCGCCAGGAGGACACACTCCACACCCCCCAGAGCCAGGACGAAGTACAGCTGGGTGGCACAACCCAGGTAGCTGATGGTCTTATCGGGGCCCCACAGGTTGTAGAGCATCTGAGGGACGGAGCCTGTGGTGAAACACATGTCTAGGAATGAGAGGTTGGCCAAAAAGAAGTACATAGGTGTGTGCAGCCGCGAGTCCAGAGCGGAAAGCAAGATGATGGTTATGTTGCCAAAGAGAGTCAGCAGATAGAAAGTGAGGACAACCACGAAGAGGACCAGCTCCAGGAGGGGACGGTCAGAGAAGCCCACCAGGATGAAGCCTTCAGGAGAACTTACATTGTCCTTTTCCATCACCTGTGACCACATATTGCCTGTTAGGAGAGAGAGGAGTCTCTGTGAAAAGTGTAGGTGTACTTCCTCAAAGTGGATGGCTGGTAGAATGGTACCATTGGAACTTCCTCGGAAATGCCGGATGCCCCACCCAGAATTTCAAGCAGTGTTAATTCAGTCACTGTGCGGACTGAGGAGTAAGCTATTTGGGAGTTTTTCAGGCTCTTGGCTGTGATTATTGACCAGCCTTTTGCATCGTTCTTTTCAGATTGGTAGGATGTAAAAGCACTGGTTATTTTATAAGGAATCAACACTCCAAATTGTCCCCTCCTTTTTTTTAATAAGGAAGCGCAAAATCTTCTAGTAATATGTAACCTGTGGATAGGAGTGGTGGCTTGTGTCTCTACAACAGAGAACCTGGCTTGCTGTTGGCTGAAATCTCATTCTAATCAGTGAATGTCTTGTCAACACTGGGAAACCCAGGGTCATATCCAACCTAAGGGTAAAAGTGATCAAGCAAATCTTAGGAAGAAAATAACCTTGTTACTGTTATGGATGCGCCTTGATTCCATCCATTCTCTTTACACCCTTTCTTTGCCATTCTCTATTGCCTCAGAAAGGCACGATCCCACCACGCTCCCACCCCCACCCAGCCCTGCTTTAAACCTCTGACATTATGTTTTTTATTCACATGGTGTATTTTAACCCCGGGGTTGGGTGACATTTCTGAAGTTGAGAATGCTTTGCTATTAAGATGAGAAAGTGAAATAAAACAATTGCCAGAACTCAATCTCAATGGAACTAATATTCAGTGTGTTTTTTAAAATAACTTTTCCTTCCCTCTTACTCATTTATTCTCACAGAGAACTCCACTTTTGGGGAAAACTATATGATTATTTTATTTATGTATCTCTTATGAACCCATAGAAATGAAAGACATTTTAAGTCTTTATAATACTCTATACTTTCAATTATTAGGCAGTGTTTGTATGTCTTAGGGAGAGTGTACTGTGTAGTGTAAGTTAATGAAGCACAAAGTCTTATTCTGATATTGTTGCATATTTTCCTAAGCGGTTAGTAAGTAATAAGAGTTGTGACTCAGTGAGAGGAAACATGTTACATCTCCAATTCTGGGGCACAGAATAGGTGCCACTGCTCTCAGACCTCTTTGCTGGAATCAAATCACACTGTGGTGTGTATTCCCTACAACAGTGCTAGGATTCTGCATCTTGAAACAGCCACTTATTGGAAATTATAGGATTATCACAGTCCTCAGTGCAGAGGCCACATCAAGCTTCCCCCATGGTCATGGACCTACATGGCACTGTCTGGGGGGACAGGCAGCTTGGTGATTAGATAACTGGGGACCAGTAGTTACAACCCAGCCAGACTGGCGGCTTTTCCTCCACCTCCTGTAAAGCGGAAACTTAAAATTATACAGAAGATGGTTAAGAAAGAACACACGTACGTACAGCAAGCTGGGAGGGTACATAGCACACGGGTGATAATGAATGTCTCTGGAGGGGAAATAGAATCAGAGATTGGTCCAGTCTCTGTCAATTTCCCTATGTTTAAATGATCTCAAGTTATGAAGGAAACACTGGCTGGAGTGGCCCAGTGGATGGAGTACCAGCCTGCAAACCAAAGGGTCACCAGTTAGATTCCCAGTCAGGGCACATGCCTGGGTTTCGGGCCAGGTCCCAGTCTGGGACTTATGAGAGGCAACCACACATTGATGTTTCTTTCCCTCTCTCTAAAATAAATAAAATCTCTAAAAAAAAGACAAGAAATTAATGCAATGTCATCAGACATTATCTATTGAATAGAGTAATAGCGGGGTTTCTTTTGTCACGTGGTGGAGGAAGGCGAGAAGGTGAGCAGTTCCACTATGACAGTGTTACTGGACAGGAACCAGGCCCAGAGCTGGTCTGCCCCAAGCTGGGCTGTGGTGTGTGGTTCTTGACTTTGTTCAGGAAAGATTTCACAGTGCAAGTTTATGTAACTTTGATGATGCATTTATTTCTGGAGAGAGTGAAACAAGGAAGGGACGAACATAGAAGGAGCAACATGAGAGCCCAGGTGTGGCTGCTGTCAGCTCACCGGAGAGTCAGAGAAAAGGGGGCCTTGGGGACAGGTTCAGAGGGTCAGCCTGGGATGAGCTGCCACTGTCTATTGCTCCCCTGGTTGCAAGTCTCTTGGGGGCCCTTAGAGTTTAGGAGATGCACCCCGGGAGGTGGGGTGGGGGGAGTGGGTGGGAAGAAGGGAAAGGCGTGGGCATGCTCCTGGAGGGTCAGCACAATATTTTATTTTTCCCTTGTTTCTGAAATCAACCAAAGGACCCACAAAGCACGACGCTATTTAACTAGAATTGTTCTCATGAGTTTTTTATTCTGACTGAAAGTTTTTCTGGTGGCTAAACTATCTGTTCACTGCCCACTTTTCCCCTCACTTATCCTGTCAAAATCCAAATGCTGTTTTTCTTTTCTAAGCCTTCCCTTTTGTGAGTACTGCATCTTTATATTTCTGAACTTTAAATAATGAATGGCTAACTCCTCAGTTTGCCCAGAACAGTCTTTTAAGTGGTCTGTGTGTCTTACCTTCTTTAAACTGAACTAGATGGCTTTTCAACACAGGAAAGGACAGATTTCTCTTAGAAGTCAAGCACTTAATTATTTAATTGTATCATGCAATAGATCACTTACCACATTTAAGTAATTTTTATTGTTTGGAAAATAAGACGGATGTGCATCTCCTCCATGAATTCTGGATCTTTGACCAGCTAATTTCAATTTCACAAGGTTTAAAAAAATTGAACCAAAGAATGCCGCAGTATCAACTATCATCTACATCTTTTACAAGGAGCCAGGATGGGGATTTACCACTCAGGTTGTTTGGAGTGATGGCCTGTCACATCCCAAGGCTGGTATCTCACAGCTGGACAAACTGCTCATCTGTGCCAATGGCACTCGAGGTAAATGCAGAGCCGTGGGGAACCCTGAACCCTCCTTACTGGAGTTCAAAGTCCCACTGTGAACACACAACAGCAGTATTACTGAGAGCCCATTATTCAATATCCTCTCAGGCAATGCAGGACCACAATTAGTATTTTGTTCTTTGGGTTTTCCCATTCAGTAGATTCTACTAGGTTTTAAATCATGTGTTTGGTAAGAACTCCATTAAATGAGTTCAGAATCTCTCTAGTTTCTCATTGAATGAGTGATATTTAACCATTATCTTTACAACTTGATCAAGCCTACTTTATGGTGCACAATATGTCCACATGCCCACAAGTCAGCTAGAGTCTGTGGTTAAAAAAAAAAAACAAAACCCAAACCAGATGACTGGATGGAGGTGGTCCCATTTCTTCCTACCCAGGATCCTTAACTTACCACATTCGACGGCAACCTCAGACATGCCATGTCCATCGTTCTTTCTCCTTCTTGGGATGTCGCTAGGGAGCCCAAGTGGGATGACCAGAGTGAAAACCAGGAGAAAAGAAAGATGACGTGCAGGAAACCTGGGAGAAAAGAAAGACAATGAAGAGGACAGGGGACCCAGCAGCTGAATCTGGATGTGTGAAGGGAGAATGTCAATGAATGAACCACAGTTACACTGCCCGAGGGCCCTGAGCACCCACAACCCCCTTCCGCCCCAGGTAAGGAAGCTGGAGGCACCTCTGATGTGCACACAGTGAAGAGAACACAGCAGGGGCCCATGGGTTCCAGTGTGAAAGGAAAGAACTTCTTACGGGTTTCAGAGTTGATATAGGATTGGACACTTCCTTTTCGACCTCCCCCAGTGGAGTAAAACTTTCTTTTCAAAAATTCCCTGAACTAATTATTTCTAACAAGGGTTGGGAGAGCATGAGGTCTCAGAGGAAATACTACTCTTCCCAACACATACACACACAACAAGTTCACTCAAGAGAGAGGTGGAGAGCACACACCAGACCCTCTTCACTGGGCCTCACTGAGCCCGGGAGTCAGCAAAGAGCTTTAAGGTGCAAAGTGGCTACCTCACTCTTCATTCAGGACAGAGCGCAGAACTGATGAAAGCTGTGTAAGGGTCTGCTGGTCTCCTTTGTGACGCGTGTCCTCTGCCACCTGCTTGGGGCACACTGTGTGGACAAGGGCTGGTCACAGGCCTTCACCACTCTGTTTCCTTCACATGAGTTTTCTATGTGATTCTAAGGTCCGTAATAGCAAAGCTATATCAAGAGGACAGTGGATAAACAAAGAGATTGACTTTGACATTTAAAATTAATACAAAAACAAGAACGCATCCAAAATATCAAAATAATCTTATGTTAATTTGCCAAGTTTGGTATAAAATTATTAAGATTATGTCAAGAAATTTACTTGGTATCTGACTGACAAATGACTTCAGCTGTCATTAGAATAAATGAACAGGTTTGGGTTTTCAAGAAAAACGAAGAATAGTATACCCGTGTGCCCCAGGCTGCTTTATGATCTGTTACCGTCCCGGTGAACGAGGCAGAAACAAGTGCATCTCAAAAGCATATTTTTATATGTACCTGTCAATGACTTCTGAGAGAGATAAATTTCACATTTCATCTCTATACCCAGAGATTTTAATTGATACACATGAGATAACACATAAAAATGTGTTTTGTGCACTTAAACTATTATTTAGATTTTAGTAATTATTATTATTATTACTATCATATGGATGATTCATTTCAGTGGCTATTTGTAGATACTTTTTGTCATGTAGAAACAAAATATATCTGGCCATTACTATGTCAAATGCTATGTTTTAAATTTAAAGATTATTAAAGTCATGTACTATAATCTTTGTTTAAAAAAATTTTTGTTTATTCATATACTATAATATTAACACCACCAATTATATTGGTGGAAATAGAAGATAAATGAAAAAAATGACAATATCATCTTCACTGTTTTCTAAACAAATGGCATGCAATGACTTTTTTGTCAACAGCAATATGGAAATATGTAGATGACCAATCAAAGCTAGTCAATATTAATTCTTTATCTCGGCAAACCTCTTGGCAC